GGTCACATATATCCTGCATTGAAGGAGGGAAGGAAGGAAATTCACCACTAGGAACCTCAACAGCTTGCGTTTCACCTCCAAAACCTCACGATTTCGCATTGAACTCTGCATTGAATGTCAACAACAGCGAATAAACAGTTTATGGGTTTCTTTTTTAGTTTACAAGCTGCAAAAACGGTGGTTTTTCTGTGGTGCAGGAGGAGAAATTAATTGAAATGCTACTCGGAATATAACTATATCGGTCAACCACCAGTTGAAATTACAATTGCAATTTTGTTTTGATATACAGTCTATCCTGCACATTTTTAAATACCTCTCTCTCTCTCTCTCTCTCTCTCTCTCTTTTTGCAGACCCACTGTTCCCCCCTAGAGAGCAGCGAGCCAGGCGCTCAGTGACAGATGGCACAGCCTCCTCTACCCCCCTTCTTTACACACACCGGCCTATCGCCTGCCCCCTGTACTGCGGCAGATCACTGACATTCTGTCTCATTAGAGCCCTGCTAATTACCACAGCCTCTTCCAGGAGCGAGAGAGAGACATACAGACACAGAGAGAGAGAGAGACAGGTCACTCTGAGGGAATGGCTCTGGGTTCTAAAGGGCTTGTCATCTGACAACAGGGGCCGTGATTGTATTCACCATCAGAGGGTGAATACACAACTCCCATAATGCCCTTCTTCTCTCTATTCTCTCAGCCCCAGCAGAGCTCTGTGAATGCCAGTTCAGCGCTGTCATGTCTGTATTAGTGGTGTTTGCTCAGTCATACGTCACTTTCACTATTGCTCATATTCAAAATTAGGGAATTTAACAAACCTCTAAATCTACTCGACATGAAATCAAAACTGAACCTTTTTATGTAATATTACATGTTCCTGGTACTATTGTGAATGATTCATCAGTGCATGTTATTCCAAAATATTTGTTAAATATTTGTATGTATTTTCTCATTTTTAATCTTTAAATTAAACTGTAAAACTATAAACGTTCTCTATTTCATCCTTTATTTATTTTTTACTGCTCCTTCCATATCCCTGGTTCTATTCTGAAATGTCCATGATTAAATTTATGATTAAATTCTTAATATTTTTTTTACTAACAATTATATCAAATTATTTTTTATTCTAATATATTATTAGAATTAAAAATTATCTATTTAACATTTTACTTGATATACATTAATATTCCAAAGTTTGGAGTCAGTAAGATATTTTTAAAATAATAATTATTATAGTTTTATTCAGCAGTGACACAATAATTTTTATCAAAAGTGACAGTAAAGCCATTTATAATGTGACAAAATATTTCAAAATTTCTAATATTTCTATTCATCAATAAATCCTGAAAAAAATGTATCATGGTTTCAACAAAAATATTAAGCTGATTTCAACATTGGTAATAATAATAATAGGAAGAAATGTTTCTTGAGCAGCAAATCAGCATATTTGAATGATTTCTGAAGGATCGTGTGACACTGAAGACTGGAGTAATGATGCTGAAAATTCAGCTTTGATCACAGGAATAAATTACATTTTAAAGCATATTCTAATAGAAAGCAGCTATTTTAAACTGTAATAATATTTCACAATATTACTGATTTTACTGTATTTTTGGGGAAAGGAATGCAGCCTTGGTAAGCATAAAATACTTTTTTCAGAAAGAAGAAAAAAAAAAGTCTTACCTTATCTTAACTCCTTAAAAAAATCACTAGATTATGTAAGAAAATCAGTTATGAACAGCACTTCATGTTGACCTTAAACTTACATTCATAAATTGTGCCATATGGATGATACTTCAAATAAAACCTATAATCGGACAAGCGAAAATATCCTGCACTGAAGGAGGGAAGGAAGGAAATTTACCATTAGGAACCTCAACAGCTTGCGTTTCACCTCCAAAATGTCACGATTTCACGAACTCTGCACTCGACGTCAACGAGAGCGTACAAATAAACTGTTTATATGTTTCTTTTTCAGTTTACAAGCTGCAGAAACGGTGGTTTTTCTGTGGTGCAGGAGGAGAAATTAATTGAAATGCTACTCGGAATATGAAAGTGCCACCAAATAGATAAAGCCTGGCACTCACGTCCTGTATGGATGTGTGCCCAGAGAGGGGGACGACATGGCGCCGATCCAGTGCCCATCCCCCAATAAACAGCACACACACACTCATTTACACCACAGCCGTACACGCGGCCACATGAGTAAGCAGGTACGCACACTCACACACACATGCGACGGTTCTCTTTAACCCCCTCAAACTACTGTTAACGGCTTTAAAAGCCCAGGGGACGAGCGCTGCGCCTCCCATCTCCATGGCTCTTGTTGAGGGCAGAGCTGGGCCGAGCCTGGAGCCCCATGGCTGCGGAAGCCAAACCCGTGGCCTGTGCCAGATCTCTAGCGTGTGCTGCGGCCAGTGCTGCTGCAGTCTACCTCCGCTACGGATGAGGATTCCTGCACTGATGGACGCGCCAATTAATCCGACACGCCACGGAAGATAACCATACGGCAAAACGCCTCCCACCACATGCCGTCCAGGACCCCGAGGTCCTTCAGCCAGGCAGGGGGCGAGAGGGACAGACACAAACACAGTCCATTTACTAACATTAATTAACTATATTTGAACTAATTGTGAAAAATACTTTATTTATTAATCTTAAAATCAAAAGTTGTATCTGTTAATATTATTTAATGTGCATAAGCTAACATTAGGGCCCTATAAAATCTATTCAGTTTTGTTTGTTTATTTATTTACTTCCTATTATATTATATTATATTATATTATATTATATTATTGTCTTTTAAAATGTATACCAAATGCAATTATCAATCAAATGAAATTATGAAATCTGGTTTATTTTTCCCAAAATCAGTTTTATTTTTTCCCAAATTCAGTGTTTTCGGTTTCAATTTTTGATTTGATTTAATACAAATTTATTATTTAAAACTGTGGTAATTAAATGAGCGCATAAACGATTTAACTGATATTTTAAATGTAATTAAATGAAATTATGCAATCTGTTTTTTTTCCCCAAATTCAATCTTATTTTTTCCCAAATTCTGTTTTCAGTTTTATTTTTTTTCAGAATTCTGTTTTATGATTTAATACAAATTCAAATAAAACAAAACCGGTGATAATCACATGAATCCATAAAACTTTAAAAATGTCATTGATCTTTAAAAAATGTAATCAAATAAAATTGTCTATGATTGTGTGATATTCCTCAACAAATAATGTTGTAATAACTATATTATTGTTGTTATTACTTTTAGAAGTACATTCTACTCTACAATACATTTCTGTCATAATTTCTTCAAATTAAGCCAAACTTATATTTTGGCAGGTTGTGGTAAAACTTTGAGTTTTAGTTAATGCATTAACTAACAGGAACTTACTGTAAAGTGTTACCCAGTTTGTCATCCTACTTAGTTCAGAAATCATAAATTGTACTTCAATCAGAATGCATTTCATAATTTTTTTCTTTGCCATTTTACATTCTAAAAAGACAAGAGACAAGACAAAAGACATCATTCGTATATTGTTTTGGCCTGTTATAAACTATAGAAAAATTATTATTATTATTATTATCATTTAAAAATATATATATATTTATTTCATACACTATCATTCAAAAGTCAGTAAAAAAATTGTTGTACAAGAAATTAATTCAACAAGGATGCATTAAATTGATGACAGTAAAGACATTTATAATGCTACAAAAGTTTCTATTTCAAATAAATGCTGTTCTTTTGAATTTTCTATTCATCAAAGAATTAAACGATTTGATTATGGTATCCACAAAAATATAAAGCAGCACAACGGTTTTCAACATTGATGATAATCAGAAATGTAGCTTTGGCTTGTGGCCTCGTAAAATGACTAAAAGTGTATTTTCAGACAAGAATGATCACTATTCTTCATTATAAGCACCCAAAATGCGACCAAACTGACCGGTCACAGTGAAAACGTGCAGTAATCACGGTCGATACCAGTCGACTTTCCTCTACAATCCTTCAATCGTCACGCCTCAATTGGAAAAGAGTTTCCCCACCGCTAATTACGACACCGCAGCGGCCGTTTCGTAACTACGATCGCTCGGCGCCGGCACCGGCCGGACATTCAGCCAGCGGCCCCCGTGGGCCCCGCGGAGGGGGCTGGGAACGGGAAGGAGGGGGTACCAGCTGCCCGGGGAGCGCACATTACGAGATGGAGCCGGAGATAAGTGCTCTCCCAGGCCCCTTTTTCAGCTGCGTAATTAGCACAGTTCTTATCTGCTGCTCAATTCACATTCACACCAGCCATGAATGGAGCACACAGGCTCAGGCAGAGAGGGGGCTCTTTTCTCTCAGAAGAATCTTACGCGAATAAATGCCCCGGTTTGTCTTTTCTCTCCTCCACCCTTCTCGGCTTTGAACTCCCTTCGACAAAAACAGTGGTTTGTGCATCAAACTGTAATTTGGTGAAACAAAAGTATCTGGCACCGTAATCAGTGCAATCAGCAAAAACCTGCTGATATTTCTAGATCATTTAGGGCTTTTATTCGCGTTTTCCCCCCCATCAGATGTAATTGTGAAAATCTTTAAGTGTGCACATAGATATGTGAAACCTTTAATAATAGGGCTCGCCTTGCGTTTCTTTAATTAGTTTTAATAGGCTAAAACAGACGGTAATGTCTCTCACAGAGGCCTGTATTCAGCAGAAGGCTGTTCGCTATGTGAGATAACGGTGTGGTCGTTGCACAGCTGAATTATATAAACACATTTGTTTTATGTTGCAACACTGTCTGCTGTTCGCAAACCCACAATAAAGTGGCGCAAGTCATTACGGCGCTGCGCTACCTGCGAGGCTTAACAAAGCTCTCCTTTTACGCTTTTATCTCGCTATCTGAGCTTTCTGTAGACTGTACACAGAAATGTTTGACAATGTTTTGTCAACCGGACGAGCGCTTTGAGCGTGACAGGCTAGTGAAAGTCGAAGTCGGAGGTCGGTCGGGGCGGGTCGTACCTGGCTCTTCGAGGCGGCGACCTTGGCGAACATGGCCTGGGACACTTTGGCCCTCTTCATCTCCTGCTGGATCTCGTCGTAGATGGAGGAGTTGATGTTTAACACGCAGTTCTCCGATTTCCCGTTCCACTCGGAGGACAGAGGGCTGGGCTTCACCTGAGCAAAGAGGAAGAAAAAAGTTAGGCAGATGGATATACTTATTACATTTTTAATGCACCTGTCAAACAACATGGTAAAAATAAACAAACAAACAAATAAATAAATAATAAAAAAAAAATAATAATAATATTATTTCATATACCATTGTTCAGAAGTTTGGAGGCAGTAAGATAGATTTATTAATTTATGAATGAATGAAATAAATGAATAAGTTTTTTTCAGCAAGGATGCATTAAAATGATCAAAAGTGAAAGTAAAGACCTTTATTTAGTCACAAAAGATTTCCATTTCAATGATTCATCAAAGAATCCCCCCCCGACCAAAATATTTATTGCAGTTCCCATAAAAATATGAAGCAGCACAACTGTTTTCAACATTGATAAGAAATAATAATCAGAAATGTTTCTTGAGCAGCAAATCAGCATATTAGACTGATTTCTGAAGGATCATGTGACACTGAAGACTGGAGGAACGATGCTGAAAATTCAGCTTTGCCTCACAGAAATAAATGAAATTTGAAAATATATTAAAATATAAAAGTTATTTTTAATATTTAGTTTTAGCAAATAAAATGCAGCCTTAGTGAGCAGAAGAGACTTCATTCAAAAACTTTTGAACAGCATATATATGAAATAATAATAAATTTAAAAAACTATCATTTTTAATAATAATAATTCTTTTTAATATTTAAAAATTTTATACAATAAAAAATATTATTATTACTATTATTATGCATTCCCATTTATTTTATTATTATTTTAGCTCATTTTTAAATAATATATATGTACATAGGTATATAATCAAGGACAAAATCATGCATAACTTTCTGCATAAACAATGTACCATATGTGCACTCACAGGAGAGATGCCCACTGGAATTCTGGGATTCCAGTCTTCTGGTCTCATATTGTTACACTCCTCTCTTCTGGGCTGTGAACACACACACACACACACACACACACACACATATGTAAAACAACTGGTTAAAATAACACTTCATCAAATCTAATCAGAATACTTTAGTAACACATGATCAGATTTGTATCACCGCAGCACTGATTTCTACAGCAAAACGACTTGCAAACATGGCTATAACTTTTTTTTTTAACATGAAGGGGCTCAAAACTGCCACCGCAGGACCGTTGAAGAGGCTGTCAGTGGCACCTACAGCAGTCAATTACATGTAAAGCATCAGTGTCTAGGCTGAGTTATTTTGTGACCATATCTAATAATAAAGGGATGAGCGTGCGCAAACTTGCACACACTGTCTGACGATCCATTAACGTATGTGGGAAACATACCTTCGCATCTGTTTTTATGGGCGTCATAAAAGCCTTGCAGCGCTGCAAGACGTGCCACCCTGCTGATTTACAGCAGAAAATATCCTGCGAACATCTCACTCATATCTGTCAGCATCAAGCTGCCATGCACCCAAAGACTTCCCTCTACCTGGGCCTGCTTTATCACATATATTTTTATGCAAAAAGGCCAATGACGGACAAAGCGTTATCTTCGTTTATCTATCTATCGTTATGGTATGTTCAACAAAAGACAACAAAGTTCATCTAAACATACATATAAACGCATCAAGTATTTGTAATAATATTTATAATATGATATTTTTTAATGCTTTTCGCTGCCTAAGTAGAATGTTCCAAAGCAGTTACTAATGAGGCTCCATTTCAGTTAGGATGCTGCCTATGCAGCAAGGAAGCACACTATGTTTTGGAACACAGCCATTATATGTCAAGCAGTGCATCGATATTACCTTTGATTCAAAATTTCACCAATTTATACAAATATCATCAGATAATGGAGACTTTTGCCGAGCTCTGTACGAGACTGACGAATTAGGCGCAGTTGCTGAATAATCAGGTTACAGAACCATCTGATAATGGGATCTGAACAGGAAAGCAGCATCTGGTTTGCACACACACACACACACACACACACACACACACACACACTAGGACATGATGCACGCAAGCGCACACACAAATGCGTGCACACTTGAGTGAACACTGATGACATTTCGGTCTTTACACATTCTGTGTGTGTGAGGGAGTTTTTCTCCTGTATAAAAGAGCCTCCTCAGTCCATCACACACAGGAAGGCTTTGTGTCCGATCCACTAAGACACACTCAACTGCGTTTGAAGGAGGCTCTGCATACCTTTCCGGCCCTGCTTGAAGAGTTCGGAGTGAAAGAAGCGCTTCCTGAGATCTTTCCTGCACTAAACGTTTCCTCCAAAGTACAGATGCATTGATGTACCGACACTTTTGCATTGGTAATCGACAATAACTGTACAGAATTTTAATAATAAAGGTGGTGCATTTCATATTTGAATAAAAGCACCTGCTAAATGCATAACATTTGCAATGCATAAATGTAATATTTCAAGCTGCTGCTAAAACTGCTATTAATAACAAACCATTTACAGGACAAATCAAACTTGTATCACAAGTTTTCTTAAATGTAACGTTTAAATATGCAAAAGAGGCCTTATATAATTAAATATGCATTAATTGGCATAAGATTACAGAACAGAAATCTGAACATTGGATAAAGCCAGTTTCAAAATTGTTTTAATTTGTTGACATTAAAGGTGACATTAGAGTTAAAGATTTATGCAGAGGGGATTTTGGATATTTAATTTTATCACTTCATAAGTCAGCCAAAAAAAAATGTTGGCAACAGCCAGAAAAAAAAAAATCATTTTCACCATGTTTCTAGGCATAAAGTTTAAATGTGTACATTTTATGCCTAGAAATATAAATAAGAATATAATTGTAAAGTGAAGATTTCTGGCTCATTTTGAGAAAACATCCTTTAAAGACATGTACTGTCATTAAAATTTACAGCCACAAATAGTTTAAATGTAAGAAATAAACATTTAAAATTTATATTTGGGATGTTTTCTTTTCACTAGGCTTAAAGCTGATAGACAAATAAACACATCTCAAAATTGACTAGTGCCTGAAAACAGACATAAAATGGTCTTGCCAGTAATGTCTTGCATTTGAAAATGCATTGTTTCCCTCTGTATCAATGCATCTGTACCTGACTGCATGTCAGCCATGATTTGTAAACACAGAGTTCAAGTTGTGGGGTTGTAATGGTGTCCTTGTGGTTGTGTGTTTGTATAAACCATAATGTGTGAGCTCCTGATCAACACATTACTATAAAGCACTGTCATTTAAAGCCACAGTGCATCATTTCTGGGCCACTGGCCACACCAAACACAACTGGCAAAAAATGGCCTTTATCAAACAGGTTTCCCCAGTCTTCCATTGTTAGTACAATCTTGAACTATTTTCTTGTGAGTAAAGCTGCGGAGTAATTCTGATATTAAAATGAAGTCATTTTTCCTGCCTCCTCAGGAATTTACGCATTCAATTCCAGTGTGTACAAAGAAAATACTCTGACGATGACTGATGAAAAACATACCTTAGCTAATCACTCATTATGCTAGTGAGTGAGAGCATGCTAAATATTTGTGCTGAAACTGAGTCTGAGTGTTCAGTTCCACCTACATTTACATAAGCGAGAATACAGAATTGATTTAAATTCAACATGACCCCATTTACCTTGTTAATGCATGTTTGTGGTCTTACTGTGAATGAATTATCAGTGCAAGTTATTCCCCCAAAAAATTTTTATCAGTATTTTTGCTTTGCCTTCCAGTAAAGATACACATCCTTAAAGGGGTCATATGATGCTGCTAAAAAGAACATTATTTTGTGTATTTGGTGTAATCGCATCATATGACCCCTTTAAATCAACATACATTTTCTTGAGAAGAAAATTGGAAAAATATAAACAAGACAGAAATAAGAGAGATCATATTTAAGTCTGTCAGATTGATGCATAAAGCTAGAAAAAAAACATTTGCCCACAGAGTAAGGAAAATCAGCTTAATTCAAGATATATTCTCTCTGTCTTTGATTAGTAAAATGTATCCCAATAAATGTATTTAGTTTTAAGGATGTATTTTACATTTATATTTTGTATATTTGACATTTTCATATTTTAAATGAGACTTTATTTGTATATTTTCTGTTTTAATTTTAGTTAATATTCTTTTTTTTTTTTTTTTTGAGTGTCTGTCACTTTTATTTTATAAAAATAAGACAGAGAACCCATTTAAATCTGTTAGATTTATGCATAAAACAAGGGGGAAAAACATCTGGCAACAGAGTAAGAAAACTTTATTTAGACTTTATTTTCATAATTTGTGTTTAGATTTTTTGTTAAAGTTTTAGCAGTTTTGTTATTTGTCATTTTTTATTAGTTTTGAGTTTTTCTAAGAGAGATAACTTATTTAAGATTTAACCATAAAACATAAACGTTCAAACAGAGTAAGAAAAATGAATCTAACTCAAGATACAGTCTGTTTTTTTTTTTCATTTTTATAAAATTATAAATAAACAAGACAGAGAACCTATTTAAATCTGTTAGATTTATGCATAAAACAAGAAAAAAAACATTTGCCAATGGAGTATCTGGAGTATCTGTCTTTGATAAGTAACATTTATCCAAATAAACTGATCTCATTTTAAGGATGCATAGATATTTTAACTGGAAAACAAGACAAAAATACAAAAGAAAAACAATTAGTTTTTGCCTTGCATCAAGGGTTGCAACCCTACAGCTCACATTTTACTCTACAAAGTACAAAAAAGTTGACCTTTCAACACCTATTCAAGTGTGATTGTGAGCGTGTTACCTGTACAGGGCGTGTGGGAGGGGTGCTGATGAGGGGCGCGGGGCCCATAGCAGAGGCCGCAGTCAAGCTGCGCTCCCTCTCATCCTGGTAGATGCGATCGCGCTCCACTTCCGGTAACTGCAGGAAGTTCTGCATCGCTCGCAGGTTGACCAGGAGCGACTGAGACGCTATCTTGGGGTCTTCCTCTTTTCTAAGAATCTCAGAGAGAAGACCCTGTGAGAGACACAGAAATACATGCATCGGCCTCTTAGCAAAGAGCAATCAGTTCAAGTGCAACAATTAAAACATTCTCTCCACTCCATCTGTGACAAAGCAATTGACCCGTCGATAAGCTCCGCCCACCTGAATATCCAATAGGAATTAACTGGATATTTCTGTTAAAAGTGCTTTTCAGTAAAATATGCTCATGCAGTGCTAATAAAGTAATGGATATTATAACATTACAAAGCCTTTCTTTAAAAAGAAGTTCAATTATACCGCAATGTCATTAAAACATTAGCAAAAAATATTTAAAAAAATAAACAGCATAATAGTTTTCACCATTAATAATCAGAAATGTTTCTTAAAGCAGCAAATCAGCATATTAGCATGATTTCTGAAGGATCATGTGACACTGAAGACTGGAGTAACAATGCTGAAAATTCTACTTTGCATCACAGGAATAAATTACATTTTAAAATATATTCAATCCGAAAATACTTATTTTAAACTGTAATAATATTTCAAAATTTTAGTGCATTTTTGATCAAATAAATCTGACTTTCAAAACCACTAAAAAATATTACCGACCCAAATCTTTGATCAGTAGTGTACATTAGAAAAGAGAAAAAGCTAGCCTGAAAATCTGGTAGACGGCAACAGTTGCTAGGCTAGGATTAGTCAGTTACACTTTCAGTCAAATACTATCAAACACCATCAAGGTTGATGCACTTTGCATAATAAAGTCTAAAAATGGGCCACCAAACCCACAATCGTTTTGACTCTGAGACGCCACGGCATGCCATCACAAGCAGCCATCATTCACGTGTGGGGGAAGAATGTACAATAAATATTTAAGGGCTCTGTGGAAACAAAAAAAATGCAGGTTGCAAATTCTTCCCAGCGCAACTAAATGCCAATTTGTGCAAACACGCCTGTCATGACGCGGCCCCTGATTCCTATAGATTCCTATCGCTCTAACACAACATCAAAGTCACTTCCTGCCAAACAGGGGTTTTATGCAGAACGTCGCGAGACATTATCTTCCCGTTGTCTCCAGCAACAGTCGCTCATGCGTGCTGCGGTGACAGTCCGCGGCCGAGCCAGCCCCCACCCCCCGCCGCTGGCACACGGCCAGGTACGTCTCTCTTTGTCTCACCTGATGATGGCAGACAGTCGTCAAGGCGGGGCTGTACTAATAACAACTAGTGAAAAATCCGCACAATGCTGAGTTTGTCTGACAACTTTCCCTGTATTTGCAAGTGTGTTTGGGTGCTTTCATGTATTGATACAGGGACAGAGTATTGTGATATTTTACTTCACAATATGGTACAGATATTATCACTGCCAAAACTTTTTTCCACCAGTGTAATTTTAATATCACTCATAAACTATTAGAATTTGTTAACATTTTTATGTCGATTTTTTTTTAATGTTTTAATTTAAAATTTTAGTTACATTTTTTTTGTAATTTTGTGTAATTTTTTGTCATATCAGTTTTTCTTCTTTTTTTAAAAAATGCTTGTATAGCATTTATGAAGTTTTATTATGAAGTTTTTAGCTTTAGTCTTTTAGTATTATTTTAGTATTTTAACTTAAATTAAATGAAAATGAGAAATGCTGCCTTGGCAACTAGCTGAAATAAAATAATTTTTTAATACTTTTTTTTTTCCAAGTAATTAACTGTTTTTAGGGTTTTGGTTTTAGGTAACAACAATAACCCTAGTTTGCACAATAATATTTTGAGGAAAAAGTACAGTGATGTACTAAATGTTTTTTTTGTAAAAATCCAAACTCAAACTGAGTTAAAATTGCAGTTTTGTAGTTTCAAAAGATTTTCTTTTGAAATAAATTAATCATTTTATTTTTGCAAGGATGCAATAAATTGATCAAAAGTGACAGTAAACGCATTTACATTGTTATAAAAAAAATATATTTCAAATAAGCACTGCTTTTAACTTTGTTCATGAAAAAATAAATGCATAAATAGAAAAGTTAGTTTAAATTGTAATTTCACAATATGAATGTTTTTACTGTATTTTGTCTTGCTGAGTATTAGAGACTTCTTTCAAAAAAAAATCTATTTCAAATAAGCACTGCTTTTAACTTTCTGTTCATGAAAGAATAAATGCATAAATAGAAAAGTTAGTTTAAATTGTAATTTCACAATATGAATGTTTTTACTGTATTTTGTCTTGCTGAGTATTAGAGACTTCTTTCAAAAAAAATAATCTGACCCTAATTGTATGACAATTTTTAATAACTAAACAAGAAAAACATCGTAATATTAACCTATCATGAACCAGATATTAATAAATTATCCCTGATGATTTCCACTAGTAGCAGTAGACTCATATATTCATCAGGCAATAATCTGTGGTCATTTTGCCTAGCATCAGATTGAAAAAAAATCAGTTTTCAAATAATTTATAGTGAATTCTCAAATACTTTCAAAACCGTATTTTGCCTATTGAGTGAAATGTGCACACCTCACTCAAATGTGCACAATTTGAGGTATCATTCATGCACAATAACGCAGGACAAGCAGTGAGAAATTAGTTTTTGGTTGGAAAATGTAATAGTTATAATAGTGATGTCTGCCTTAGCTCACACCGCTAATAAGTGTCCTGTCCCAGCTCAGCGCTGACAACAGATTGCGTGCAGTGACGAAAAACAAGGTCAAAGCCATGGGTGTGCGAACTCAAAGATGTGAGTCAGTGATCAGTTACTCCTGCCAGGAAGTTTCTGATTGAAGAATGAGATGCAAGAATGAGATAGAAGTGCTCACTCGCTCTTTGTCCTGACATTTACTGGACGATTGGGTTCTTTGTGTTGATCCCTAAATAAAAGCAGATAAAGCATCTAACTGTGTGTGTTCTGTTGTCACTATATTAGCAAGGCATGGTTGAATTGTAATGATGTACAGAGCGTGTAGTGGCAAGCATCACACGAACATGTCACAGCTGATGTATGGGGCTGGGGCGGAGCTGGGGATATGATTCAGCATTTATAATCGTCAACAAAATCATCTACAAAAACAACATTCTTAATGGCTCTGCTCCAAAACCTAGCAAGCTGCCTTACTGGACACCACCTACATAGAGAGCTGACAGCATCCTAACTGATATAAAACACAGATCTGGATCGCTCTACAGTACATGCTTGGGCTGCACGAAACATCAAAATAAAATCAATTTAAATAAATATGCGCTACGTGTTTCAGAGCGAAGCGCAGCACCGTGTTCATTTACACGCGTGCAGCTGGTTATCTGGTGTTTTCACCGTAAATGCTCCACTTCTGCAAGTGCTGTGAGTTTGGGTCTCCTTTGGAAGCGCAACATGCACCAGTGCCACCCATTTTACTAGATCTGTAATGAAAATCGTTTATAAACCGGACGCCAACAAAGCAGCAGCTTTAAGGGCTCCCTTTCCGCCAAAATAAAAGCTCAATAGATTAAAATGTGAAAATAAAGACAATAAGTGTAAATAATAGTGTTGGTGTAGTGTAACAAATATTATTATATAATTATTTTCATTAAATACTCACATTTAAAAAAATATATATTAAAAATAAAAATACTTTTATTTTAATTTAAATGTTTTTATTAAATAAATCATATAAGTAAAATAAATATGATTCTTATTGTAAGAAACAGTAGGAATATGGCCTATGATAACTTAAGTGTAAAGACTGTTTTTGTTTTTTTTATTTGTTTTAACTCTTTCACAATACGGTTACTGAAAGACATTTGATTTGGTTCTTAAAATGCATATTCACACGTTTTTTCTAAATTGTTCAGGTTGGTTTTCACTCACAAATCTTCAGAGTAAATCATTCTTGAAAGATTCTAGTAATAATCTGGTGAAAATTCCAATATAAATCCCACTATTTACATTACAGAAAAACTAATTATTGCACTCAGTTCTTCTTATTTCAGACTAATCAATATTTTCCAGTATTGAAGACTTTTGTCCACCATTTTGGATTGATATTTTCTACTCTGCTTATTGCAGTGCATTATGGGATTGTCCAAGAGATGATATCTTAGAGCAGCATCAGCATGATGCCGCAAACCTTTAGGAACAACTTTAGCATTGCAAGCACACTATGACACCTTGAACTGCTTCCTATGTATAAGACTTATACATAGAAAAAAAAAAACCTTACCAGCCTCAATTATTTGACAATTTTTATAACTAAACAAATAAATAAATAACTAAAGAAAAAGCATCAAATTAATATGTAGGCAGCTATTTTGTGATCATCTTCGCCCCATGTTTATCTTTTATCTCAAAAGGCACTTTTATTCCAAATATATGATATTTTATAATCCAAATATTCGTACCTGCGTCCTGTTGAAGGCCACACGGGCGAACACGGCCTGGGAGATTCCCGCCCTCTTCAGCTCGTCTCTGACCCACTGGTAGATCTCCAATGAGACCTCGGAGTTGGTGGCCAGCTGCGCGTCCAGCGGTTTGTTGAGCGCGCGGCTGACAGGCGGGTGGTTGAGGTACTGCTGGCTCAGGGACTGCTGGGCCAGGAGACGGTTGACGGCGTACTGCTGGTTGAGGATCTGAGCCATGACGATCTGCTGATTCACCAGCTGGGGGCTGATGGGGGTGGACACCAGGCCGGGGTGCAGGCCGGGGAGCTGAGCGCGGCCGGGGGCCTGACTGCTGTGGGACAGGGGCACCGGGGACGGGGACTGCTCGGCCGTGCTGCCCGGGATGGGTTGCTGACTGAAGCTGAGGTGGTTGGTTCCGGGTGGAGAAAGATCAGACAGACTGTCCATCTCAGCTA